TGTAACAAAAGAGCGCTAACGTAAATATTTGAAATATTTATTAATTAGATATATATCAGTATTCTATTGTATAAATTTAGACAATGACGTAACGCCAGTTTTACTTTAAATATGGAGGAAGATAAAAATAATATTAACAACAAAAAAAAACGAACGTACGTATACACTGAATATTATAATGATTCAAAAAAAAATTGATCTATTTTTATATAGCAAGTCGTTCATCAACAACAAATATTTTTAATGCATGCTTGAAAAGAACAACGATGTGTCCAAACATCGTGTATGACAAGTCAGAAAAGCAAAATGCAGAATTAGAAGCTCCAAAAAGTATGCATTGTAATTTTAAAACATTAAAATTTTTACTAGTTACATTATTGTAAAATATTTTAAATAAACTTGTTAGTATAATTGTTTTATATAGTGCATGTAGATAAAAGAGTTCAGAATTAATTCTTATGTGGAATCATAGAAAAATGTAAACTGCGATTTTTGTAACTTCTATTTTTTTAATAAAAATAGAAATTCCATTTAATTTTCTACTTAAAGTAGAAACTTAGATATCAGTAATTAACTTCCAAAAAAAGTAAAAATACTGTGATGTATACATATGAGCACCCATTAAAAAATCTGAAGCGAATTTAAAAAATATGTTAAAATATAACAATGTGGTATCAGTATAAATATTTTGAGGTACAGTTTAATATTGACGGAGTAGTTTCGGTGAATACTTATGTTTATTGAAACTGAGTCTCGTAAGTAATATAAATCCAGCAAGAAATGATGTAAAAAAGAAACGAATTAAAAAAAAATATATCAGAATAATTTGCGAATGCCTTTGATGTCTTGAAATGAGTAATATTATTTTGATGGCATTAAAATATCGGTGAATCTGAATTACCAAATTTATTTTTAAAATTTTAATTATCTTAATATTGTTATGAGTTGTACAATAAATCTTACATCGTATATCTGTAAGTACGATTTAAATAAGATAGAACTAATATATGATAGTTATTTGATAATTTAAGATTCAACTTATATTTTATTTCTAGTTTATTAGCAAACAACGATGGCAATAAATATATATTAAGCATATGTAATATTATTAAAATCATGTAATTTTATATAAATAAATACACGTTCATGCATACCTGTATTTTTAAGATGATGTATATTAACTATTGTATTATACGATAAGAAAAAACAAGTAGTGAAACTACTTTTATCTACTAATAATCAGTTATACTAAAAAAATATATTAATTTTTATTTTAATCGTTTAAGTTTTTGATTGACTACTATCCATAGAAAATATAGCTAATAATGTGAAACACAACGAAAGATGATTTTCATAAAAAAACAACCGAGTCGGTTGAATTAATACTTATGTAAAATTTAGATACTAAATAAGAAATGGCGATAAGTGTATATAATGAAAAATCTTTTAGTATGAGAGTGAAATTAGTTTTAAAAGTTTTCATATATACTGGATATATTGCTAAATACTTCTACAAACCATGCCTTAGTATATAGTATGTAAATAATTTATGCACGTCGCTCAGAAGAATATTCTGACAGAAAATGACAGAATTAAATAGATTTCTATTTTAAAAATTTTTAGTAGTGACTATATTTCTTTTGTAGGTGCCGAAAATAATACGTTTGAGGTAAAAATACTGAAAATGTGAAAAAATATTTGTAAAAAAAAAAATAAGCAGGTGATTGATGCAAATGATCGTGCAGTACTTCAGTTTGAAGCTAAAATAAGTAGTAATAGAGTTGCAGCGTGGCGTGCCAAACGAAATGCAAAGGAAAGTGAAGCATCAAGGCTAATACGGTTAGATAAAGAAAGTGATGCTAGAACTGCAAAAAGAAGAAAGCGTAATCGACTAACCACAATAACAAAAGATTATAGCTCTTCTAAAGATAATGCTGCTAATAAGAAGAATGAAACAGGTAATTACGAAAAGAATAAACTCGTAAAAAAACCTATAAACAAATTAGATAATCAATCAAGACAAATTAATAAATTACAAAAAGTTCGAAGCTTAGAAGAAATAGGAAAAAAACATCAAGCAACATTATATTATGAGGTATTTTATAGACTTACAAATTGGTGTAGTTCAAAGTTGCTAGTGAGAATTGATTTATCAGCTTATCAAAATAAAAAATACAAAAATAGCGGTTTTATCAAAGAAGAAACAGCTGAAAATAGATTTTTCGATTAAATTGATTTCTCTAATAAAAAAACATAAGATTAACACTTGATTGTTTTAATTTTTATCACATCTGAATCAAAAAAATCTGATTTCAACTCTTTCTCTTGTCATTCAGTTGAATGAAGCTGAAGATTTTTTTCCGTTGATCAAACTGATTTTTATTTTAAAACAAATTTAAATCACCTATATCGTTCTTCGGGTTGTATTCATATATATATATATATAGGTGTATGAAAAAGTGGCTAACGGTGGCTCAGATTGCCAAAGAGAAAATAAAGATATTTTACGAAGAGTTCGAAGTTTAATCGAAAGTACAACAAAATTTAAGAGTAATTCGAATTATGAAGCATTCACTATGTCAATTCAACAGTGTAATCAAAATTTAGAAAAAGTTGAAGACAGTCGTTTGACAAGGTTAGAAAAAGAAACTGAATAAAATATGAGTACAAGATTATGTAAAAATAGATCAGTAAAGCGACGTTATAGTGAAACTAAAGATGAAAAAATAACTCAAAAATTACAGAAACGAAATCATGGTCAGTTGTAAGAATCATAAAAATATTTTATATTTTAATTTATATAAATGATACGATAGTAAACGTAAAATGGAAATACCATCACCATCTGAACAAATATGGCCAAAAATAGCGACAACTGAGACAAAACATCACTGTCTTGTTGAATTTAAAGAAGCTATGTCTAATGATATAGTAGATCGAACTATATGCATGATATGTGCATGCCTTCATTATAGACTGAATAGCATAGAAAGAAATATTGGAAAAATTCCGAATCAACATTTATTATATCCAACTAATGAAATGCCTTCCTGCGTTATTAAATTAAATATTGATATTGATCCAAATACTGAACATGTTGAAATATCAGGTTAGTTTTTCTAACATGAAATGAAATAGATCAAAAACGATTTTTTTCTATTATGATACTAAATAGAAGAAGTTCGAAATTGTCTTATGCATGCGAAAGATAGCAGTGTAATCATTAACAAAATGTTGTTATGCCGAAAGGCTATTAATGTAGAAACAGGATGCGGAATTATATGCAACAAGTGTCATAAATATTTAATATCAAATAAAATACCACCTTTCGCATTGAATAATTTAATGTGGATTGGTGATGTGCCTGAAGAGCTACAAGACCTTACACTCTCAGAACAAAAATTGATTGCTTTAGTAAATATTTTTTATATATACATATAGTAGAGTTTTTTTTGTCTACTTTATAGTATCGTCATTCAAGCTGTGTGAATGAACTATTTTCTATTTCACGTGATCCTTCTTCAGCACAAACAGCACTAAAAGGCACTGTTATAACATTTCCGCAAAATGTATCAGAGATTGCAAAATCTCTTCCACTATCATCAGATCAATTATCTGAATTTATTAAAATCATCTTTGTGGGAAGATCCCTACCAAAGAAAGATCAACTACGTTCAATTCTTACCGTACGTAGAGAAATTATTCGAAAAGCACTTGTATGATTATGTGAGAATAATATTTTATATAAATGTATTCATATTGATCATTTGTTAATTGATAAATCTTGAGGGTGTGGGTGTGTGTGTGAGTAGGTAATGAGGCTGTGGATGTGGGTGAGTGCTGTTGGTGTGGGTGGTTTGTGAAGGAGTTTGTGTCAGTGTGGGTATGGGTATATTTGTTGAAAAGAAACACCCTCACCCTCAGCCACACCCTCACCCACACCCACACCCTGAAAAGTGTTCCATATGGGACAGTTTCTCGATAGGAGCCTTTCGTTAAGTTTTATTTCGCCCAAGCTATGTGGTTCTGGCAGCGTTCAAACCGTCTCTCATTGCGTGGATTCTCAAAAAGTTTTGGTTTACACCGATAAAGATCTATAACCTTTGTAGCATTTTTTTGGGTAGAAAAATTCATGGTGCTTTTATCGCATTTCTCTTCCAGCATCCAAAAGCCACTGGTTTTTAATGATTTGATTTTCATATTTTGTCCAATCGTGCATATCGGGTGAACAAATATCGACGTATTAACACATGGATCTAATATTTTAGCCACGGGGCAACCACCTGTTCCAAAAAATGAGTAGGGTGATGGAAATCGTCGAATTGAAACCAGATTTCGTTCATTCTTTTTTCTGACGTTTTTGTGTAATAGTGTCATTTTTTTTCTTTGATAGCGCTACATTCACCGATAGTGTCACAGATTTCATAGCAGGATCCTCTCAAAAGAGCAAATGAGCGTTGCTCATCGAGATGCGAATGCGTATACTCTGTTTTTATCCACTCTCTAAACAATGCTATTGTGTCGGGATTAGACCTACTATACAAAAATCCAGCATTAACTGGAGCCTCGCGCATGAAAATCATATCACAATTGCCCACATCTGTCGAATATTTTTCAAATGATAACCAGAGGTTTTTTCGACTGAAAGCTATATCTGTGTCAAAGGCAAGAATTGTATAATTTCTTATCAAAACATCAAGAAAAAATCTTAACTTGAACCAATTCATAGGTCTATAATGCTTTTCATCAGTAAATAATGCATCAAGTGTCGGATTTGTATTATTATAGTAGTTTTTGTAGTATTTTGTGCCATTGAAACAAGGCAAATTTAAGGTAAAGCATACTTGCAATGATTCTTCATCCGGTACCATAACTATGTAATTATAAACTTGGCCAAATTTAACTAGTGTATAGATTTGGTTTTGAAGCATGATTTGCCATGGATAGTTGAATCGCATCAACGCAATCTTATTTGTTTTTCCTGACATTAACATAAGCAGCTTGTCTAAATTGTTGTGTAAACCAGAAAACAGAAGATTTTGCGAACTACGTTGAAATAACCATGGATAAGCGGCAGTTTTTTGCCACCCATTATATATTCGTTTAGATTTTGTACTGAATAACCCTACATTATAAAACTTCGTAAAATCACTTGCTAAAAAAGCTAATATAATATAACTTAATATTGTACAAGGGAAAATTACACAGCACCCTCGAAATGATATAACTTTCATGCAATCAATAAAAACATTTTATAACTCAGCAGCATGTTGTAAAAGATCGCTAGGTTAGATATACATATATCTACGGTGGACTATAAATACTGCACGTTTATCTGAAACAAAACAAAAGGGTTATTGAAAATTAGAAAGTTTCGTCATGATGAAATCTTATGAAAAACGAAGGGTAACTTAAAATTCTCACAAGTTTTCAACTGTTCTCGCTCAAAATGAATACCAATGAAGGTCAAAGATGCGCATCGCAAAAACTTTTGAAACTTTGAGATAAACCGGCTTCGAAAAACCCTTATCGAAAATAAGGAGAGCTATTTTGGTCTTACCTGCATGCGTACATTTCATTCTCAATGACCGTTATCTAATTTCTTTTCTTTATTATCTAAGACTTCTTGTATCATACACTGCACTGAAAACAAAAAGGAATTATACGACACTCAAAGCTGTTAGTGCGTTTCTTGAGGATGTGTAGGTGGGTGTATGAGCCTGAGTGAGTGCGTATTAGATAATTGGCGAATCAACAAAACCATCTTGAGGGTGTGGGTGTGGGTTTGGGTACGGTTGTGATTATTTTATGTCGTCCACACCCACACATACACCCGCACCCACACCCTTTAAAGTCACATGACTAAGGGTTTTATATTCTACTAGTGAAGGTATATGATTCTAAAGATAGATGAGAAAGGGCTTTGTATTCTTCGCGTGGAGGAGGGTTTTTTTTACGTTATGATTTTTCACCATAACATAAGATCCTAGACTTATCACATTCTTAGGTAATCTCGTATACTAAAGTGTTGTTTAAATTGTTGAATATTCTTACTACAATTCAATAAAACTTTGTAATACAACGTGTATCCAAATTCCGGAATGATATTTTTCTCAAACCGAAACCTGTTTCTCAGTTCTTGAGAACGTATCGATTTATTTCCATTCAATCAGAAATCCACAAAAGATACTTTAAATAATTACATAATTAGTTGAAAATAGCTGCGAAAAACCACAGATACGGGGCTGTTCCCATATTACGTCAGCCCTTTTTTTCGAATTTTAGACCCCCTCCCCCCCCTATGTCATCACTTGTCACTTTTCGTCGACCTCCTCCTCCCCCTATGACGTCATCACATCTCCATTTCTAAAAGTGAAGCGCAAAAAAAAAGCCAAAACCAATCCGAAGGCCTGTCGGCACTACGTACACTCCAAAAAAAAAGAAACGCTCCTAAACCCTACAAAAAGGTTTCGTAGGATTCTCTAATCATTTTTTAGATCTTTGAACGCATTTTGAACCTTTTATAAACCTACGAAACCTTTTTGTAGGGTTTAGGAGTGTTTCTTTTATTTTTAGAGCGTAAAATCGCGGATTTTCCTAACTTTTGTAATTTATTACTTCATGACGTCATCACTTCAGTCAACCCCCCCTCCCCCCTGTCATCACTTGTCACTAACAAAACTGTCGTACAACCAATCGTTACGCTCAAAAAGTTTTTCAATGAATACTTCAAGGGTGGGTGTGGTTGTGGTTGTGGGTGTGGGTGTCGGTGTCGGTGTGTGGGCGTGTCGGTTGGTGTGGATGTGGGTGTGGGTGTGGGTGTGGGTTTGTTTGGGTGTGGGTGCTGATGTGCTTGTAGGTGCGAATGTGGGTATAGGTGTGGGTTTCAGTATGGCTGTGATTATTTTATGTTGCTCTCACCCACAGCACACCCACACCCACCCTACACCCACATCCACCCCACACCTTCACCCACTCTCGTCTCTCCACACGATCACCCAATAGTCCTCAGATTTGAACTCCCTGTATCGAAATACCTATAGAAATATCTTTTTCCAGAAAATCGATTTTCA